AAAAGACCACTGAACAGTGAGTGCGGTGACTTCTGGGAAGATAATGCCAGTCTCAGGAGGTGATGGTAATTCTTGTTCTAGTTTAGAATAATTTCTGACTTATAGAAAAGTTATAAAGCTAGTAACTCTGTATTATCTTTGTCCTTGTGTCACCTGTACCATTTCCCCTGTTGTCAACACCTCATATTACTGTGGCATATTTATTGCAATTAATTAACCAATATTAATACATTCTTATTTACTAAGCCCCATTTTATTTCAATTACAATACATTTTCTACAACAGCCTTTCTCTGTTCCAGGATCCTAGCCAAGATATCATATTACATTTAGTCATTATCTCTCCTTAAGCATGGACTAAGACAGGTTCTCAAATTTCTCTTGATTTTTATGACATTGAAATTTTTTTAGTTTTACATTGTAGAATACAATTTTCAGAATCTCTGTTTTGGTTTCCAGTATTTTTCATTATGGTTAGACTGGAAATATGGGTTTTTGAAAGACCACAAAGGCAAAGTAGCATTTTCAATGTATATCAAGGATGCATACTATCAGCATGACACATCACTGATGATACTAATCTTGACCACCTGGCTAAGATAGTATTTGTCAGGTTTCTCCACCATAAATCTACTTTTTAAATTATTTTTTATTTCTCCATTTTCTAAAATGTACTCTTTGGAAGGAAGTAACTAAGCATAGCCCACACATAAATTATCTGGAATTCTCTTCGAGAGATTTATCTTTTCTCCATTTGCTTATTTATTCACTCATTTAGTTATACCAGTATGGATTCATGGATATTTATTTCATATTTTGGGCGTCCATCCAGCACTAAGTTATCCTTTGCTTAAATTGTCCCAGTTTTGGCCATTGGGAGTTATTTAAGTTGGCCCATTTGACACACTTCCATCATGTTGTTTCTTTTAAACTTCATCACTTTGGGGCACTACCAGATGCTCCACACTTATCTTGTATATTTCCTGTGACTTTTCTCCAAACAACCTTGGCTCCTTTAACCATGATCTGGGTGCTGAATGTGCTGTCTGCTAACTGGGCCCAGAACATTATTTCTAGGCCTTCTAAATAGATGGTGGTGGTGGTGGTTTGCTGCAGAGCTCATAATGTGTTCTCTTGGTGACCTTGCATAGGATTTCTGAGGCTGTAAATAGTTACAGGAGCAGAAAGACTCATCTTTCTCCCATGCAACAGCTGGAGTTTCGAGCTGCTGACATCGATATTAGCAGCCTGACTTGTAACCACTGTGCTACCTTTCTAAACAGATAGAGCTATGGAATATGTATACTAACCCATGATATATATATATACAATTATTTTTTATACTCATATATTCATTAATATCTAGAGTAAGCCAAACATAAGTTCATACTGATGGTTTAGAGTCTAATTGTTATAAGGACGATTCTAGACGACTCCTCTTGTTAGCTAGGTTAGGTATTATCTACTCAGTTCTGGCTCATCAGAATGAAATATTGCCTGAGCCTTCACCATCCTCACAACTGTTACTATGCTTGAGCCCATTACAACTGCCATGTTGTCAGTTTTTCTTATTGGGGATATTCCTCTTTTTCACCAACCCTCCACTTTACCAAGCATAGTGTACTTCTCCAGAAACTGGTCCCTCCTGATAGTATGTCCCAAGTATGAGAGATGAAATCTTACCATTCTTGCTTCTAAGGAGCATTCTGGTTATATTTCTTCCAACACAGATTTGTTTTTTCTTTTGTCAGTCTGTGGTACTTTCAATATTCTACTTCAACACCATAACTCAAATACATCGATTCTTCTACTATCTTCCTTATTCACTGTCCAACTTGCACATGCATATAAGGCAATTGAAAACACCATGGCTTAGGTCAGGCTCATCTTAGTCCTCAACTGATATCTTTGCTTTTTAACACTTGGGCAGCAGATTTACATAGTGTAATATTTCATTTGATTTGCATCAGGCAAATGACCAGACTTTGTCTCTCATACATTGGACATATTGTCAGGAAAGACCAGTCCCTGGGGAATAACATAATGCTTGGTAAAGTGGAGGGTCAGCAATAAAAAAGTAAGACCCCTGCCAGATGGATTGGCACAGTGGCAGCAGCAATGGGCTAAAGTGTAACAACAATTGTGAGGTTAGCACAGGACTGGGCATATTTCATAGTATTGTGCATAACGTCACTAAGAAAGAGTCGGTACCTACCCATCAGCACCTAACAACAACAAATCTTTGTTGTAGAGGGTCTGTGGAGTGCATCTGCCTGGTCCACCATCTTGCCAGAACTCAAACCTAATGTTCTGAACATTCATTCATATCCTGATATGTATCAGAACCTCATTTATTTTTATGACTGAATAATAGTCCATTAAACATATATATCACATTTATTTATCTACTCATCTGTTGGTTTGTTTTCACAGTGGTCACTTCTTAATGCCAATTTTTACTTTACTTATCAGGAGCAACTTACCCTTCTCAGTCTATTCCTTTACCTACTTGACTATTGAGACCTTTACTTTGGTTTCCTCTTCCCTAATGGGGCACTCCTCAGTAAGTTACCATTGAACTAATTTGGTATAAAACAAAAAAAGACCACTGCTGTTGAGTTGATTCATGTTGACTCATAATGATTCAATAAGACAAATTAGAACAGCTCTTTAGGATTTTCAAGGCTATAATTTTATGGGAGCAGAGAGTCTCAACATTCTCTTCTGGAACAGCTGGTGGGTTTGAACCACTGATCTTGTGGTTAGAAACCCAATGTTTAACCCATTATTGTTGTTCTTGTTGTTAAAGTCCATCAAGTTGGTTCTGACTCATAGTGACCCTGTATAGGGTTTCCAAGGAGCAGCTGGTGAGTTTGAACCACCGAACTTGTAGTTCAAACTGACCTTTCAGTCCAGTGCTTTATTCCACAGCACCACACCAGGACTCCTAACCCATTATAGTGTTTTGAAAAATCAAATAAGCAGTTTTTTGAAGCTTGACTTCCACTAGTAAATATTTACTCAGAAATTTCTTTAAATCACACGAATCAAAATTTGTATTTTATCATTGTACTGTTAAGAAATAATTCAGGTGATTTAAAATGGAAATCAAAGTCATGTTGTCGTCTTTTTTTTTTTTTTTCCAATTTAAAAGTTAGTTTGCAAAAAGTTACCTTTTATTAGAGATTGACCCAGTTTATTTGGTTCTAAAATAAGCCTTCTAGTTAGCAGGAAATCGACAATGGAATTTCCAAGTTTGCTTTGAAGGCTATAAAGCATAATCATTGTAGCTTAATACTTTGTCAGGTTAGTACTTCAACATTATCAGTCCTTATGAGGTGGTAATTTTACCCAGACTTTTGTTCAGGTGTTGGGAGAAATGATGTCAGAATTTGAGGAATACACACAGACAACATTCAAAGTTGAAAGATTTTAATTATATCTTGATTTAAATTGAACTGCAATTTTCACATTAATCAAATATATTTTTAATAGCTGTAAGTACTGTTAGAGATCATTTGTTTTGGTTGTTATTTATTGACTTTAATTTTTCAGTCTATGTAAATATAATGTTCAGCTCCTGGGAAAGAGGTAGAGATATCCATAAGATAATTTTCTGTAACAGATTAGAGAGGAGATAAATTAGAGAAAATATATCAATGTGAAAAATCTTAGTATAATTGATGTTTCACCTCAAAATGAACTTATCAGAATTAACATTTTATAATGATATCAAATGTTATCATGTAAGAAGACATAATTTTACATGCATAAAATAATATGTACCTGATACATAGTGTAAATGATATAGATAAACCCATACATCAATCAGAGTATGTATGGGGCTTATCTCATTAAAGAGATATATGTACCCTACAGAACTTTATCAAGATTTTGTTTGGTGGTTTGTTTTTCTTTCTTATTCAAGATCAACTATACACATACATGAAACCATATTTGTGCAACAAATTCTTAAAGGCAGTGTGTTTGCTTTCTTGACTTAGCATTCACTTTTTGTTTTTTAGAGGGCTTAGAAAAGAGACAGTGCACAAAGGCAAAAGGGAGGGCAGCTCAGTGTTTCTACCACTCCATTTTTTCGTCACTAAATTCTGCATGAAAATAGTTGCATATAAGAGCATATCAATCTCTCAGGAGTGTGGTAAAAATTGAAGAGAATCATGTTGCTAAAAGTGCTTTGTAAATGAAAAAAATGTTAATAAATAAGGAACTATCATCATGACTAAGGTATCAAATAACTTATCAAAAAATTTTCCCAATCAGAGCGAAAAGCCATTTAATTTGAAAGGGGTAAATTTTGAATAAAACATTTTTTTTTTTCAGATAACCTTGTTATCAGTGATATTTAAAAATTATTTTAAAAAAAAACAAAATTTCAAAATATTTTGTGCTGTTTGTAGTATTAACTCTGGCAAGGTGAAGTTGTCGATTCAGCATACTATAAAGTTCCTCATGGGTAGAGACCATATCTTTTATTTATAAGCATTTATCTAAAGTATATTCACAGTTTCAAGCTCTTAGTAAGCGCTCAATAAATATGTTTGATTTCCAGAGGGAAGAGAGTGAAAGCGTTATAGACTGAATTGTCAGGAGTTTCAAGATCAATTACTAAGTGTATGTGACGTTGACAAGTGACTTCACCTCCCTAGATGCTCAGTTTTCTCAACTGTTAAATGAGGGTGAATAAGTAGAGTTCTTTCTGAACTTTCCACTTCCAACTTTCAATAAACCTTTATTCTCATTTATTTTAGCTACCCACTTATCCTTCCTTTATTATATTTGTCAGAGAATGCATGGCCCTTGCATGATACTGTTGGTAACATGGTTACATTTTTATCTAGAAATATGCAAGCTGTTATTTTAGAAATGCAATCCACTGTGTTTCATTGAAAGGAAGCAGAATTCAAGGAAAAAATAACTATTAGTACTTGGCATTCAGTAAAGGAAATTTTGCTTTTTAAATCAATAGCATTTAAATCTTACCCGACTGGGAAACACCTGTATTCTGTCGCTTGGGATGACTTTTCCATTTACAGAAATAATATTTGGCTTTGATGTCAAACCAAGTATCTGAACATTTTCATATGCCAGAGTAGTAGTTCCAGGGAAGCCATTTTTCATTACAGTTGTTTTCAACTCTCCCTGTTATGAAGGGGAAAGAAAACATTTTTAAAAAAGCAATGACGATACACACACAGAAGTATACAAATCACTATAGTTTGGAAAACTGCCAATACTTTAAAATACCCCCTTGGAACATACCTACTTCAGAAAATAAACTATTGTGTTACAACAAATATTGAATGGTTTAACTTACATTACTGAATTTATATTCGGCATAGAAGTAGTTTTCTTTTTCTATAGAATCTGTAAAACAAGCATTAGCATTAAAAAAATTATTTATTTTTTACTGTTTTTTAAAAATTGAATTCTAATCAGCTAAAGTTCAAGTGTATAAAATCTTGGAGTAGGTATAGTTGCTGTTTTTGTTAAGTATCATCAAGTAGACTTGGACCCATAGCGACCCCGTATAGGGTTTCCAAGGAGTGGCTGGTGAGTTTGAACTTCTGACCTTGCAGTTCAAAACAACCTTGAAGTCTAGCGCTTATCTTACAGCACTACACTAGGATTATGGAATAAAATTAATTGATTAATATTGACCATACACTAGTCCCCAGCCTACTTTTATGATGCTATTTGGGGGTGTGGAGGAGTGCTAACCGAATCAAATACGTCCCATCATTTTACCATGCCCTCCACTTTTCCCTTTATTTTCCATTTTTATATCATACAAAAATGGTATTTAGCACTTTGATTTAGCAGCAGGAGTATAGTATAACAAGTAGACAATTTCCTTCCACATCTCTCTAAATTGTCTACATAAACACACACACAATGGGCATAACATGTATCTCCTTCTCCGGATCTTAGTGTTCTTTTACTTTAAGTCTCCCTGTTTAAAATTTAGAGACAACTTCTTTCAAGTATTAGAGATTGACTCATGCTTTCAGAGGTAATTCACTAAGAAAAAAAAGAAAGAAAGAAGACGGAAAAATGACACAGAGGAATGCTGTTTATCATGAAAACACAGACATTGGGGTTTCTAAAACATCTCTTAGGTTCTACCACAAATGACTCTCCTTCTTCTCTGTCTTTCTGACTTAGTAAAGAAGGGCAAAGAAAGAATGATAATTGTGACATTAGGTAATATCCTTCCTGCAGCCAGCTAAATTTTGACGTATTTCCTCAGGCCTAAGTACCTCTCTTGCTATTCATATACTGGCGTTCACCTACTGGTAGATTGTACCACGGTGGCTTACACATTACAGTGATGCTGAAAGCTATGTCATTGAAATTTCAAGTACAAGTAGGGTTACTAATGGTGGGCAGGTCTCAGAGAAGCTCTCAGACTAAGGCAGACAAGGACAAAGGACCTATCAATCTACTTCTTTAAAAATTGGCCAGTGACAGCATTGTGGCAAGACCTGGGGACTATTGGACCCAGAGTCAGTGACATAGCCACAGAGGACTAGAGTGGAGAGTGAAGCGTCCAGCTGATAAGAAGAAAGGGCATCTGCACAAGAACACCCACACTTGCAGATAATACCCCCTTGACCTGGCTTCAATGACTAGAAGATCAGAGCTCGACCAGAAGAAAAAAGAAGAGGAAAAAATTAGTAATCTGATACAATTTGATGAACTTGACCTACAGCTATGGATGCAGTAGCTCAAAAGAGGGAACAAGTCCTTACAGCAAGAACCATTCTCACCCCCTCCACATACAGAGTAGACAGGGATGGGCAACTTGGACATTGGCTACCCAAAATGGGGGTGGGGGACCACAAAGGCAAGAAGTGACTGGCTTACAAGCTTTCAAGAGGGAACCTAGATCCAGAGGGCCTGGAGGAAGGTAGAATCTCCAGTGAGTGGTATCCAATCTGTTTAGGCGGGGCTGATGAAATGAAATGCAGATGGGTCTCTTGTGACACAATAGTGAATAATTGTTATCAGGACTGATTGTGAGGGTTAGAAATGTAAAGGTAGACATTTTATAGCAAGGAGGGGAGTGATTAACTTTTCAGTCTAGGAGCAGAGATCCCTAGGACCATCAATGGAGAACAGCCGAGAGCGGGACCCTACCCAGAGAATCAGTGATGCCTGAGATGGAGTCAGAGATGATGACGTGGAGCGATGGAGCAGCTGGGGACTTTAGATCCAGAGAGGGAGAATGACTGTGTGCTGAAGACCGGGAGTGTGTGTGTGGCAGGCTTGCAGGGTATATACCGTTTTGTTGGTTGATGATGCATGGAAGGGATTGTAACCATGGCGATGTATGATACAATGAATGTAAAACGAATGTTCTCCCATGTAAACTATCATATAATTCACAATAAAACATTTTAAAAAATTGGCCAGTGAAAACCTTATGAATAGTAGTAGAATATTATATGATATAGTGCCAGAAGTGAGTCCCTCAGATTGGAAATCATGCAAAATATGAGTAGAGAAGAACTGCCTCTCAGAGCAGAGTCAACCTTAATGATGTGGATGGATTATAGTATTTGGGGACCTTCAATTGTACATGTGACGTTACTTAAAGTGAGAAGAAACAGCCACAAGCATCCATTAATAATCAGAATGAAGAAAGTATGAAATATGAACCTAGGAAACTTGGATATTGTCAGAAATGAAATGGAATGCATGAAGATTAATATCCTAAGAATTACTGACCTGTAATGGAATGTTATAGGTCATTTTGAATTGGATAATTATATGGTCTAAATGCTATGAATGATAACTAAGAGGAATGGGTTCTCATTGTCACAATGGACATTTAAAGATCTATACTAAAGTACAATGCTGTCAGTGATAGGATAATAGCCATACTCCTCCAGGGAAGACTAGTTAATATAACTATTATCCAAGTTTATGCACCAACCACTAAGGCCAACGACTAAAGATTTTTTACAAATTTCTGAAGTCTGATATCAATCAAACATCAATTAACATGATCAAAAGCAAAGATGTTCTGATAATTACTGGTTATTGGAATGCAAAAGTTGAAAACAAAGAATTATCAGTTGGAAAGTATGATCTTGGGTATAGAAATGAGTCTGGAGATCTTAGAATAGAATTTTACAAGACCAGTGACTTATTCATTGCAAGTATCTTTTTTTGCAACAACATAAACAGTGATTATACATGTGAACTTCATCAGATGGAATACACAGGAATCATATTGACTACACCTGTGTAAAGAAATGATGGAGAAATTCAATATCATTAGCCAGAACAAGGCTAGGGACCAATGGTAGAGACGACCAGCAATTTTCACATTCAAGTTCAAATTCAAGTGAAAGAAAATTAAAACAAATCTGAGAGAGCAGAAGTACAGGCTTAAGTATAGTGGTGGTGGATCTCACCTAAATTTAGAGACCTTCTAAATACTAGATTTGATGTATTGTACATAAATGGCCAAAGGCCAGACAAGTTATAGGATGACAACAAGGAAATCATACACGAAGAAAGCAAAATGTCAGTAAAATTGCAAGAAAGGAAGAAGAGACCATAATGGATATCAGAATAGATCAAAACTTGCTCCTGAATGTAGAGAAGCTAAAGAGAACAGAAGAAATGATGAAGTGCAATATATGAACAGAAGATTCAAAGGACTACTCAAGATGACAAAGTAAAATATTACAATGAAATATACAAAGACTTGGACTTGGAAAACATAAAGGGAAGAACAGCCTCAGCATTTATCAAGCTGAAAGAATTGAAGAAAACATTTGTCTAGAATTGAAGTACTGCAGTATTCTGTTGCCAAAACACTGGATGAACAGAATAAAGAGATACTCTGGAATTTAAAATCAAGAAAGTTGAGTATTTGAGTACTCCAGAACATTTAATCGTACTCATGAGGAACCTGTACATAGACCAAGAGGCAGTCGTTTGAACAAAGCAAGGGGATACTAAATGGTTTAAAATCAGGAAAGGTGTGTGTCATGGTTGTGTTCTTTCACCATAGTTATTCATTCTGTGTGCTAAGCAAATAATCTGAGAAACTGGATTATATGAAGAAGAACAGAATTGAAGGAAGATTCATTAACAACCTATGATATACAGATGATGCAACCTTGCTTGCTAAAAGCTAAGAAGACTTAAAATACTTACTGATGAAAATCAAATACCACAGCCTTTGGTATGAGTTGCACCTCAATGTAAAGAAAATAAAACTCCTCACCACTGGACCAATAAATAACATCATGATAAATGGAGAAAACATTGAAGTTGTCAAAGACTTCATTTTGCTTAGATCCACTATCAACACTCATGAAAGCATTAATCGAGCAATCAAATGACATATTGCATTAGGCAAATCTATTTCACAACAACTCTTTAAAGTGTCCAAGAGCAAATGTCAGTTTGAGGAATAAGGTGTACCTGACCCAAGCCATTTTCAATAGCTTCATATGTGTGTGAAAGTTGGACACTAAATAAGGAAGACCATAGAATAATGGATTCATTTGAGTTATGGTGTTGGAGAAGAATATCGAAAGTACCATGGACTGCAGGAAGAACAAATAAATGTGTGTTGGACAAAGCACAGCTTCTTAGAAGCCTATATGGTGAGAGTTTGTCTCTCATACTTCAGACATGTTATTAAGATGGACAAGTCCCTGGAGAAAGACATCATTTTGGTAAAACAGAGGGCCAGCAAAAAAAAAGGGGAAGACCCCTAACAAGATGGATTAACACAGTGACAGCAATGGGTTGAAGCATAATAATGACTGTAAGCATGACATATGAATGCATGGTATTTTATTCTGTTGTGCATAAGGGTGCTCTGAGTTGGAACTAACTCTACAGCACCTAACAATAAAAGCAATAGTAGACTTCTCAAATATAATTATCAAAGTCCCATTCACTGGCAAATCTACTGCAAATGACCTTTAAAGTGTTAAAGAGCAAAGATGTCCGTTGAGAACTAAGGAGCACTTTATGTCATAGTATTTTCAATTGCCTCATATGCATGTGAAAGTTGAACAATGAATAGGAAAGATCAGAGAAGAGTTGATGCCATTGAATTATGGTGTTGGTAAAGAATATTTTATATACCATAAACTGACAGAAGAATGGACAAATCTGTCTTGGAAGAAGTACAGCTAGAATGCTATTCATCTTACTTATTTGGATAATTTTTTCAAGAGAGATCATCATGTTTGGTAGAAAGTCAGTAATAAAGAGAAAGTTCCTCAAGAAGCTAGATTGACACAGTCTCTGCAAAAATGGGTTCAAATTTAGCAATGATTGTGAAGATGGTGCAGGGCTGGCAATGTTTCATTCCATTGTACATAGGGTCACTGTAAGTCGGGACTAACTTGATGGCACCTAAGAACAATAACATTCTTGTCTTATACAGCATTCTCCAATCAATTTTTCCATGTCTCCTAGCATCTTAGCAGTTCTCCTTTTCTCTATGTCACTGGTGCTAAATTGTCACAACTTCCCACTGAAAGTTATTTTCTGTAAAACTTGGATCTTAATTTCCCCCAAAGCAAAAATGAATTAAATAGGAAAAAATAATTATTTTTACTTTGCTAATAAAGGTAGAGACACAATTTCACCTCTTGGGTAACCACAGTATTTTGTCAGTACCTCTCTGGAGGTAATGTTCTCACCTGTGTTGCTTAACCCAGATGAGTGACTAAATATAAGAAAAAAATTCAGCTTCCTGGACAGCAAAGGCAGGGAAAGCAGAATCTTGCTATGTTGTCCATTATACCACATTTATTTTATTGATCTAGGTTCTCAATCCTTAATTTTAAGTAAAGTCATTTTGAAATGCAGAATATTTTAACACTGAACTTTGTTGGTATGCTTACCTATAGAGTCACCATCATCCCAGAAAAGAGAGCCATATGCTTCTTCCTGCTCGTCTAGAGAAATTATGAGGCCAAAAGGATTCAAGCGGCTGTGGAAAAAGTGAAAACTGATATCAATTTTTATTTCATATTCATATATTTTGGGGATTGGAAAAGTCTAGCCCAATCATCCTCTAGAATTATCCAGAAAGATATGAGTTCTTTCTGAAACAACTTTACTAAATGCTCACTTTGTTTATGCTTATGCATCTCAAATGATAGGAATTTAACAACACCCCAAGAAATGTATTTCTACCTCTTAATAATTCAATCTGTAAAAAAAAGAGGTAGCAATAGCACATATTTCTAAAATACAATGATCAAAATCCCATCCACTGGAAAAGAAGTAGAAGATTAATAGAGAGATGCATACCAATGGTTAATGGTGATCATTGAACATGATGAATGTAATTAACGCTACTGAAATGTATAGGTGAAGATAGTGGAACTGGCAAATACTGTGTTACGTATACACACGTACATGCAACAATATAATTATACCATGGCTAACTGTACATTTAATCCTCAGTGTATGGCTTGCCTACAAAAAAAGAAAGAGCTTCAACAAAATCATCAGTCATTGAATCAGGTAGACTGGTGGCAGATTTTAAGGCATGACCCACTGGCATGACAATACCAGGAAAATGAGGCTTGATTGGTAATTTGGACAGCCTGAACTGCTGGAAGGTAGTAACATCTGGTGAGCATGGATACTAGAATTCACCTGTCACATCTTTGTGATACCTCAATGGAAATAGGTATCAAGGATTTTATCCTAATCACTGAGCAAAAGAAAATATTAGAATGAGGAAAGAGCTACACAGTGCAAGTGATAACTCAACCTTACTTCTAGAGCAGTTGGATTATACTGAGAATTCCTTAAGGGAAATACCTTGGTTTCATATAGAATACACTTTCTTCCTATGGAGTACTTTTCCTATTGAAATGGAAAGTTAGGTATGAAACACTCTCTCTTTTTAAACAATTAAATAAATAAAATGAAATTAGCACCATAATAAACTAAAATTCAAATGTATATATTATTCACCTTAGTGGTTAGAAACAATGGATCTGCTTCACAAGGGTCCTTGGGATCCTTTCAATATTTCAAAATGTTTAGCCAAAACATATTTCTTTCCAATAATTATGCATATTTGATCTGATTTTAGTTTCAATTAATGATGACTAGAAGTTTTGATTTGCTATAATGTATCTTTGATATAAATAGAACTGTGAAGAAATTGAGCTTCTGGTGTGGAGCTTTAGGATCAGCACTAGACTTCAAACCACAAGGTCAGCAGTTCAAACCCACCAGCTGCTCCTCCGAAACCCTATACAGGGTCACTGAGTCAGAACTGACTTGATGGCACTAATCAACAATAACAAAAATGGAGAAAAATGACTAAATGCAACCTAAATTTAAAAAAATTGGGGGACCCTGACCTAACCTATATCATAAAATCACTAGCTACCTTCCAAACAATGGTTAAATGCTATTGGATCAGTTCTGACACATAGCAACCCTGCATGGGAATGGCTGGTAGGTTTGTAGTTCTCAGTCCAGTGTTTATCATACAGAGTCACACCAGGACTCCAATTTACAGACAATAGTAGAAGGATATTTAGGGAAGGCTATCTTGGAACTCATGGTGTAGTGCTGTAAAATCAGCACTGGACTGTGAACCACAAGATCAGCCATGGAAACCCACCAGCTGCTCCCTGGAAACCTATAAAGGCTTGCTATGAGTTGGAACTGACTTGATGGCACTTAATAACAACAACAACTTGCAATTGGATCAAATGGTCAAACCTAATATAATCTACTGGGTAGCTCAGTGGTGCCATCAGATAAAAACTGGACTTTGAAACACAAGGTTGTTAGTTCAAGCTCCCAGTTTCTCCATGGGAGCAAGATGAATTTGTCTGCTCCCATGAAGATTTATATCTCAGAAACCATATACAAGGTTGCTATGAGTGGAAACTAAACTCAATGAGACTGAACAACAATATCATCTACTAACTTCTCTTACTCCCATTTTTTTTCCCCTTCTCTCTTGTGTTTCTCTCTTACATACACATACACTAATACATAAACACATACACTAATTCACACACACACACAGAGACCATAGATAACAACTGAACCAAGATTAAATCAATCTTCTGTCACTCTCACTGTCCTGCGTACAAAGAGTCCCTCTTCAGACTACATTCTCTAAGCAAGTTCACAACAAGGAGATGGAATCACTAATTTATAGAATAGGCCCCTTACCTGTGCTCCGTTGTTCTTGCTGGAGCCTGTATTGGCAGAATAGCCCCTCCACGAATGAAAAGAGGAATTATATCCAGAGGAGCAGGAACTTCAACAAACGTCTTCTGCCAAGAAGGTGGTACTTGATCTCCCTAACACACAACAAACCAGAGTGAACTTCTCCAATTACAACACTGTTAAGTTATATATTACAGTAGGCATGGGAAGCAGATATCCAAACTTCTGTTTAAATTCAACAAAGCATCCATAGAATTTACTAACAGGAAGGTGACATAAAATGTCTAATTCAGTGTTTATTTTTAAAACATTTTACTTAGAACTCCACATCATTCAAACACATAAAAGCAGCATTTATTAGTATACTCTTATTTCCAAAGTTTATTTCTGTAACCACATTTATTTACTAAAAAGTCAGACAAGAATCAGTTAATAAGAATGTTGAGCTCCAAAATTTGGTATGATGATACTTTCATGTGATCTTTTTTAAAGTTAAATTTTATTAAGAAATGAAATTTAACTAAAATATTTATGGACACTTTTAAGCACTATGCAGAATATAATTTAAAAACTGTTTAATTGTTTAAGATATTAAAATAATCTGACTGCTGAAATGGAGAATTATTAATGCCACTTCCTCCAGTAACAACTAATAGATTTATAACAGAACACATATTCTTTCTTACAAATGTATACGTTTATAGTCAAAATTTATTTCTTTTGTTGTTGTTGTTGTTGTTGTTGTTAAGTGCCTTGAGTCAGTTCCGACTCAGAGCAACTGGGTCTGCAGTTTCCAAGGAGCGGTTGGTGGGTGTAAACTGCCAACCTCGTGGTTCACAGTCCAGTGCTGAACCTACAGACCACACCAGGAGTCTAGATTAGCTAATCTCATCAAAACATGTTTTTTAATGGGGAAAGCGAACTCAGTTAAAGTGAAAACTCTGTAATTGAGATATCACATTAAGTTCTCTCATACTCTAATCACCTCCCCAGTCCCCAGGCTATAGGAAGAGACTAGATATATTCTGGGTGGAAAAGATGAGATGGCTTAATAATACCATTTTGCTAGATAATTAAACTAGAAAGTATGGAAAGAACCTGTCATTTATCATAGGGATATATAAAGATATAACAGAGGGTTTCCAAAAATCGGTGAAAACATTCCATTATTATTTAATTCCATTTTTCCATGAGCTTTCTGAAACCCCCTCATGTTTCTTGCTAAGGCCCCAAAGTCCATGACAAGTGGAGACTTTTTAGAAGCCAATTTGTCAGTAAAATAAAAGCAAATCCATGGAATGTTGAGTCTTGCTAATGGCAGAATACTAATCTGAGATTTTATAAATCTGCTATTGAAATAAGAACTTCTAGCTCCAGTATCTATGAAATCTAGTGCTTTTTTAACTTGCTGTTCTTTGATTTCCATGAAATTTTCTTTTTCTGTTCATTTAAGCCCCATGTTTCAGCTAGTTTGAATGGGTTTCTGTTTCTTTTCAGGGAAAGTGCCTGACCCAGGAATTAAAATCTCTGTTACACTCAGCTATAAAGAAATATCACTTACAGAATTAATTTACTTTTAAGAATTTAAATGCTTATATGTCTACACTGCTTCTACAAAATGTTATCTTACCTCTCATACTAAATATTCACTAATATACTTAGGGCCCAATTGCTACTATTTGGCAAGAATAAACAATTCTACATACATGGCTTGGCAAAGAATCGTCATCATAATTAAACAACGCAAGGCTCTACAAGTCTTATAAAAGAAACAGTGAACAAGATACCATTCAAATTATTGAATTAATGGGTTTATAATATATTTTCAATAAAATATCTAAAATACATACTGTATAGAAGTTGTACCAGAATGCTTCGGGGAAATACACGCTCACAGACTTTGCTCCCTTTGGCAAAAAAATGAAAAATTTGACTTTTTAAGACAAATTGAAATATTCCAGTAAAAATACATTAGATTCCCTGGAAATCTACTCCTATATAATTTGGCATTAAAAACCAAGTGTTAGTCAATGCATATATGTTTATGCAGTAGAGTAAGAGAATCTTTATGAAGCATGAATGAACTCCTGGAAAATATATTTCATGACTTAATTATGGAATTTTGATGACTATTACTAAAAAGTACATAGACAAAACCCAGGCAGTCCCTGATTACAAACATCTGTTATAGGTAATTCCTATTTGGCTGCAAACCAATTCAAACCTGTTCTTTCATGTCCAACAAATCAAAATATAAACAGACATGATTATTTACAATTTGGGTGATTCCTCATGACAACAGAAATGGAAAAAAAAAAAAAAATATATATATATTTAAGTCCTGGATTGGGAGACTCGATGGAGGTGTAGTAAGCTCTTTCAGGAACCTAATGTGTGAGATTGGATTATTGTCAGTATTCTGGAAAGCCACATATATTCAAAATGTAATGGTTGTTTGCATGTTTGAGGGAGGCATTGGCATCTTTGAGCAAGGTAACACCAACTTTGAGTAGGGCAGTGCTGTTTTGCTCAAAATCCATTTTATGTTTATGTAATTGCCCTAGCTGTGAAGTAGTTGAAACAACCCCTGCTTAGAACAGATTTTTCATCACAATCACCTTTACTTGTTGCATGTATAGTTCTAAAGTCATTGAAAAGGCTTTGAGACTTCCCTTGCACAAAGCAAAACACCCACTGCTGTCCAATCAATTTTGATTTACAATGACTCAGCAGTTGGAAACTACCCAGCCATTCCATGGGAAAAAGATGAGTGTTTTGCTCCTGTAAAGATCTACAGCCTAGGAAATCCTATGTAGGGTGGCTATGAGTCAGAACTGACTTCCATAGCACACCACCACCACCACCACCACCACCAAAGGCACAGATAGAACTGGTCTACAGAGTTTTCAAGGCTGTAAATCTTTATGAAAGCCCACTAGTAAATCTTTCTCCTGCAGAGCAGCTGGTGGTTCATACCACTAACCATGCAGTTAGCAACACTTCACTTTAACCATTGCTCCACCAGCTTCCTTTTTGGCTCTAAAATCAAATAACCTGTTCCAGTTGCTTAAAATTCTTAGACACAGTTAAGAACAGATCCCGTTTGTAACCCAGGGGCTGTCTTATTTCAAAATACTAATATTTTTCATTCTAATATTGTTCTTGTTGTTAAGTGCTATCGAATTGATTCCGACTCTAGCAACCCTGTATAGGGTTTCTGAGGAAAGGCTTGTGAGTTTGAATCACTGACTTTGCAGTTCAAACCAACTTTGTGTTCTAGTACTTATCCTACAGTGCCATGTTGTTGTTGTTGTTAAGTGCCGTCAAGTCGATCCCAACCCATAGTGACCCTGTGTAGGGTTTCCAAGGAGCAGCTGGTGAGCTTGAACTGCTGACCTTGCAGTTCAAACGACTTCACAGTCTGACGCATTAGCCCACAGTGCCATACCAGGACTTAAATAGTCACATAGTTATTGTTGTTAAGTGTTATTAGGTTGGTTCCAACCCATAGCAGCCCTGTATAGGGCTTCCAAGGAGCAGCTGGTAAGCTTGAACTGCTTACCTTGTCATTTAAACCAACTTTGCAGTTCAGCGCATTAACCCTCTTGAAATCTTGTTTACCAGTCACTTCTTGCCTTTGTAGCCCCCAGTTTTTGGGTAGCCAATGTCCAAGTTGCCCATCCCTGTCTACTCTGTGTATGGAGGGGGTGGGAATGATCCTCACTATAAAGATTTGTTCCCTCTTTTGAGCTACTGCATCCATAGGTGTAGGTCAAGTTCATCAAATTGTATCAGAGTACTCTTTTTTTCCTCTTCTCTCTTCTTCTAGTTGAGCTCTGATCATCCAGTCATTGAAGCCAGGTCAAGTGGGTATTATCTGCAAGTGTGGGTGTTCTTGTGCATATGTCCTCTCTTCTTATCAGATGGACACTTCACTCTCCACTCTAGTCCTCTGTGGCTATGTCACTGACTCTGGGCCCAAGAGTCCCCAGGTCTTGCCACACTGCTGGACAACCAGGTCTCCACCTGGGTTCACAGGAGTCTATTGAAAGTTGTAAGGCTAAGCTTGAAGTTTCATTACTATTTTTCCATCACTTCCCCTTATTGGTGATGAATTTGGTCACCAATCAGAGCACATGTCTGCTCATATATTCCCATTGAGTCTTAGTCTTGGAAGGGGGTTTGCCCTGAGGGGACCCGACCACTTGCCTTGATGTCTCCTGGGCAAGCAACTTGCTTGTTCTTGTAGTAATCAGTCAGACTGCCTATATTGTTTGCATTTTTCCTGTCGGTCTTTCTTTCAAGAAGTATCTTCTGTTCTTCTAGCTGCCCCAGGCTGGTCTGACCTACACTTTTAAAATACCACTATGAAAATGAGGAAAGGTAGAGAAGCTAGAGTTGAGTGGCAGGTTGGGAAGCTGATAATTGAGGTGGAGACTTTTATAGGAAAGCAATGACAGACATAAAACAGAGTAGTAAAAATAAAGATGGAGGGAATTGGAGAGATTACAGATATTTTTCAAAGGTAAAAACGATAGTAGTTGTTGCTTGATAATTGATAGCAAGAATTCCTGAGATCGTGACTTCAGCACCAGATGGGGAATGAGGAGAGAACTGTAGATTGTGACAGGTTACGTACAGCCTTCTGAGATGAATGACAACGTTATATTTTCAATCTGTGTTCTGGGTTCACCAAAAATGCATTTTTTTATTATTTTTTTTAATCTGTGTGTTTTTTAAATGAACATTTTACAAAGTTAATATAGCAATTTTTTAGTACCAGAAGAAGAATCTTTTTCAGAAAGTAAATTAATCTAGACACAGAATCTTCTACAATAAGGTAATTCCTGAGGAAGATATTGAGAAGAGGAAAATTACATTTGGCAAATAAGGATTTTGTGAAGATTGAAAAGGTGTCTTGTGCAAGTTACTCCATAAACTTGTAAGTACTAATGCAGTTGTTGTTAAGTACCATAGTGACCTTGTATAAGGTTTCCAAAGAGTGGTGGATTTGAACCACCATCTTGAGGTTAGCAGTCTAGCGCTTATCTGTCATTGCCACATCAGGAATCCTTTAATCATGCTGTTGTTGTTAAGTACCATAGAGGTGGGTTTGACTCCTAGTGACCTTGTATATGGTTTCTGAGGCTTGTAAATTTTTGCAGGAACAAACAGTTTTATCATTCTGCTGCTAAGCAGCTGGTAGGCTTGAACTGTCAGCCTTGTGGTTTCAGTTCAGTGCTTATCCTATGGAGCCATTGCACTTTCCTTAAGCACTATGGTGGTGGTGGTGGTGGTGGTGGTTATGTGTTGTGGAGTCAGTTCCAATGCATAGCATAGGGATTTCAAGGTTTGTAAGGAGCTCTGTTAGCCTAGTGGTTACAAATTGGGCTGCGAACTGCAAGGTCAGCAGTTCGAAACTACCAGCTGTTCCGTGGGTGAGAGATAAAGCTTTCTGCTCCCGTAAAGATTTACAGCCTCAGAAACCCTGTACAGGGTCACTGTGAGTCAAAGCCGACTCCACAGCACACAACCACCACCACCACCACCAAATCTTTACAGGAACAGAAAACTTCATCTTTCTTTTGCTGACGGGCTGGTAGTTTCAAACTGCTGACCTTTTGCTTTGCAGTCTGACTCATAATCCATTATACTACCAGAGCTTCTTCTTAGGCATTATGTTGTTGTTTGTTTCTAAGTGCTGTCAAGACAGTTCCAACTCATAGCGACTCTATATAGTGGTTCTGAGGAGTGGGTTTGAACCATGGAACTTGAGGTTCAAATCAACCTTTCAATCGAGTGCTGATCCTACAGTGTCACACTAAAGCTTTATATTGAAATAATAAATTGATGTTTCCATACTTAAACATTTAGGCAAAAAGATGTTTTAAACAATGTTTTCTTTCCAAAATAAAGCATTCCTTGTTTTCCGTTTTACTTTTCTGAAGTGCTGCTGAGTCATTTCTGACTCACAGCTATCCTGCATAGGGTTTCCAAACAGCAGTTAGTGAGTTTGAACCACAGACCTGGTGGTTAGCAAGTCCCTTGTTGTCGTTGTTAAGTGTCGAGTCAGTTATGAGCCATAGCGATCCTGTATAGGTTTTCCAACAAGCAGCTGGTGAGCTTGAACCACGGACCTTATAGTTCAAACCAACTTTTCAGTCCAGTGCATTAATCCAAAATGCCACACCAAGACACTGAGCAGTTCTTTTAGAACCAATAATGTCTTTGATGGTACAAGCTCAGCTAAGATCCCAATAACTCACATCTCCTCTTCCTTCTCCTGTCCACCCATCTCTCTCTCTCTTTTTAAACTAATAGGAACACCTGATGAAGTTGAAAACAATCCAGAAATATAGAAAACACTTACTTTGAAGAATTCTATAAAGACCTAATCTCAGTTCTGTGTGTAGCTGTGATAAGTTCAAAGTGAGACAAATTTAAGATAATAAGCAGGCAGGATTGAAAGCAATTCTTCTGCCTCTGGGAATCCTAATATTGGGCCCCCACATATATCATGGGTTTGTTAACAAATCATCCTCATGATAATCATCCTGTTCACCATGCTGCATGTGACTTTCAGTCCCACGTCTCCCAGATTTCATTAACTTTATCTCACCCTTTGTGATAAAAATATGAATAAGACAGCTACCTAAAGGAGAAGGAATAAAAAGGGATTTTGATCGGATCAGAAATCTGGGTTTTTTAGAACCAATTGATGTTCTCAGAATAGGATTCCTTCCCATTACATTGGTGTAGATGAAAAAATAACTTCTGTCTGTTCTTTTTCACATAGCCATATACTTATTTTTGAAAGATATATTAATATCTTATTTTTGAAAATTACCTTGAGACTGACTTCAGAAGTTTTGAGGTGCAAAAACATATATTTACATTGTTCAGATGTATTTAACATGGAGTATGTCCTGGTGTGGCACTGTAGGATAAGCACTGAGCTACTAACCACAAGGCAGACAGTTCAAACTCACCACTCTCTCCTTGGAAAGCCTATAAAGTGTCCTTGTGAGTTGAAACTGACATGATGGCACTTAATAAAAAAAAAAACCCAACATTTTATATAAAGAAAAATAAACATATAAATATATTGTTTTCAAATATAAGAAGGAAAATGATGTAAGAAAATAGGGGTATCTGGTAAGTTTTGACTATTATTAAGTATCAAATAGCACCAATATAAACTGTTGTAAATAACCACATTGTACTTATGTAAAATGTTAGTACTTGCCTCTTCAAGAACTGGAGTAATCATTAAAGATGATCCCCAAAGGAATGCTTTGTCAATTCCGTGAGTCTGAGGATCTGATGTAAATCTAGATTTTTAAGGTGAAAAATCATTAACTGAATAAAAATAGTATTGTAAAAATAGCTAAAATATTATTCAGCTACTAATTTGTATGAACCCTGGTTCATGATGACCAACACCAATAAGATCAAAAAAGATCAAAACAGAAAGATTTAGGCTATGAGTAGTGTTTTAGGAATAAAAATCTAATCATAAGGGAAACAATTGGCATCAGTTGTCTTACCTGACCAAAGACTAAATGAGCATTAAGTCTAAGGACAAACTAGAGGAATCATGTTGTATAAATTGCTGTTTTATTGTTGTTTCTCTTTGTCTTTTTGCACTCTCAACAGCCTTTAGATCCCAGCACGCATGCCACCTCCTTCACACAGCTGTTCCTATTTCATTTCACATCAACCTCACTTTTCTTAAATTTTAACAGCATCTTGTAGCCTATGCCATGAAATCAGGAGGTAAATATCTAATGTTCTACGCTGTACTTGTTTCATATCAAAAAATTACATTTTTGTTATTTTCACAGTAACCTGCTGGCAGGGACATGTTTCATCCTTTTTACTTGTATATATTCTACACTATTTAGATAGTCAGTTGGCAAGTTACTTCCGACTCATGGCGACCTTGTATAGGGTTTCTGAGGAGCAGCTGGTGAGTTTGAACCTCTGACCTCGTGGTTCAAACTGAACTTACAGTCCAGTGCTTATCTTATAGCACCACACCAGAACTCCAGACACAGCCTTTATTTTATGCTAATTGGTAAAAACTATTTTCTTAACTACTTTAAAGTTATTTGTAAATTATTTCTAATCACATTGAGAACTAAAACTTAAACCTATTTTAATTATCCTATTTCTTCATCCACCAAATATTTCCTTTCATAGAAGAACACACGCTTCCAGGATTCACATTGTATAACACCCAATGAGACTACAACAATTGTTCAGTGTGATTTACTACAGGTTCATCCATGTTATGAAGCACTTTGCAGATTCACTGTTACTCTTTAATGTTGCATAGTTACATAGAACCTGGGGGAGAACATTATTATGCTGAGTGAAAAAACAACAAAGGTTGTATGAGACCATTGCTACAAAAGGTTTCCACACTTAAAAGAAACTACTAGAGGTAACAGGGTAAAAGAGGATAGACGCATATTAACTTGATGAAGGTGAAAACAAAACAAAACAAATAATTAAAAACATAATAATTAGTCTAAGTCACATGATTTTAAAAAAATACAGTTTAGAAAAAGATAATGTAACATTAAAAATACGTAAATGAATAAATGCTATTTACTCATGCATTAGTCCTCGGATCACTGTACTTCCACTGGTATGAGAATGGTAGAAGAGGGTGTATAAGTAGGGCAGCAATGTGTATCTAATCAACAATGCAGAACGGGAAATTGAAGCAAACTTTTCTCCAAATATCCCAGGATCTTGTTCCTATAAAAGATAAATATTTCAATCTACTTATTAGTTCAAGTGTGATTTTTTTTTTTAAGTGTTAACTTTTTCTTTTTAGGGAGATTAGGGAGAAGCAGACAGTTTATGAATATGTCTCTATATGAAATTCTTTCAATTAGTGAATTATTGCTGAGAGGCAATCATTGGCAATCTTGGCAACTGGGAACCACTGAGTTGTTTCTAAACGAACCACATCCTAAAACGCTTACAATCATGTAGTGAGCAACCTGCATTCTCACCTATCAGTGAAGTTTCAAGTTAATTCTAAATGAAAGATAACATTACTATACCTTCTCTTTAAGACAGATGATGAGACGTGTCATTTTACTGAGAAATAAAATTAGTACCCTGCTTGATTCTGCCTCCAGAGTGAAGAATCTTGTAACAGATCACATCTGTCTACCATCAAAGCATAAACTTCGAAGTTGGTAGATTATTGAACTACTAATTAAGGAAAATTGCCAATGTTTTTGTCTGCTATTATCTTGTGTTATAAAGGGAGAAGTTGTTCACAGGTTATTTAAAGAGACGTAATGTGTCTTTTAATTTTTATTTCATTTATTTAGAGATTATAAATGATGCATTTTTCCAATAATACCTGTTAGAAAACTTATTTCTCCAATATTGCTTGTTATTTTTCTGTCTCTTTCTTTTTTTGAACATTTTATTGTGGTTTAGGTGAAAGTTTACAGATGATATTTACCACTCAATAATTTATATATTATAGTTGTCCTGAATCTCTTAATAAAAATAACATGTATATTTTTGAAAAGCCAAAAGCATTTTTTAAAGTATATGAAAATAAAGATGATTTTATTCATATTTTAATGCATATATATACACTGAATTTTCTAAACCTAACTTCCATTACAAGTTACTACTGAACATAGCTGTTAAAGTTTAAAATTGGCTTTTACTTGCCTTGCTTCCTATTGAATTATGGTTTCTGGAAAAGGGATAAAATGCCCCAAGTTGCATCCAGCGCAGGCAAAGTTCATAATTTGTATCTTCATTAAATCCGCATATATCAGCTCCAACCTGGGAAAATATTTTTAATCTAAATATACTATCAAAATATTTGACATTTATTTAGCCATAAAACATACCGAAGTATCTGAGGTTATGCTAACTTTTACCAATGTGTTTAGAACCACATGGATATCATTTTCATGTTGTGGAATATGAAAGTCTGTGTATGTACTTTGAGGATGCGTTGGAATATAATAGTGATAAGTCTCTCTTGTCTGGCTTTGATTAAAAGAAAACTGTGGGATACACTGGAGTATAAATAAGCAAGAAGGGTTTTTTGTTTGCTTTTTTAAGTGATTCTCAGAAACCCTACATAGGGTTACTATGGGTTGGAACTGACTCCACGGCACTTAACAACAATATACCTAAAATATCGTTATCCAATTACAGTGTTGTAAATTGCCTGTTTCCATGTAATAGAGAAAAATATAGAACATTCACAATATAGTGAGCTAAACCAAGAGCCTTGGTGACTAAACACTTGAGCTGGAACAAGGGGCCTCAGAATAATTGCAGTCCTTGAAGGAGCTCTAGTAGTGTAGTGGTTATAAGTCAGACTGCTAACCTCAGGGTTAGCAGTTCAACACTACCAGCTGTTCTGTGGGAGAATGATGAGGCTTTCTGCTCCCGTAAAAATTTACAGCCACGGAAACCCTGTACAGACAGGGTGGCTATGAGTCGGAATGGATTCCACAGCACACAACCACCGCCACTCTGCTGTCCTTGGAGTCTTAGTGTGGCACTGTAGGGTAAGCACTGGACTGGAAACTGCAAGGTTGATGGCTCAAACCCACCAACTGCTCCTTGGAAACCCTATACAGGGTCGCTATTAGTTGGAATCAACTCGAAGGCACTTAACAACAGACTCTCCTTTCTATCGTTAATTACTGTTGTGGGCACTGTAGGAAAAGCACTGGCTGATAACCACAAGCTCAGAGTTCCAAACCCACCAAATGCTCCTCAAAACTCTATACAAAGCTCACTGTGAGTCGGAACTGACTTGACAGCACTTAACAACCTCACAATGTTGTTGTTGTTAAGTGCCGTCGAGTCGGTTCCGACCCATAGCGACCCTGTACAGGGTTTCCGAGGGTGTAAATCCTTACGGGAGTAGA